AATTCTTATTAATATTTCTAAAATAAAATAGAAAATGTGTATATGTTTTAAGGATTATATTTACATTATATAAAAAACTTATAATAGTTTGTTATATATAAAATCTTATGTGTCGATGTAAACATTATTTAATTTATCTAAATTCAAATATTAACGCTTATATTTGTTGTAATACATATGTGCGTGTATATAAATATGACAGTTTGTCGACTTATTAGATACACTGTTGTTTCAAAAAATGAGCTCATTTGTACTGAATCATTGCAAATATGTTTGAGGACAATGCCTTTCAAACACCTGTATACAAATTTGGATTATATACGCGCGCTTGATAATTTTTTTGTGAGCTTTCAGTGAATACTTTTCTTAAAATAAGCGTAATGATTTTTTTAGCTTTCAGTGAATACTTTTCTCAATATGCGTAATGATTTTGTGAGATTTCAGTGAATACTTTTCTCAATATACGCTTAATGATTTGGTGAGATTTCAGTGAATACTTCTCTCAAAATAAGCGTAATAATTTTTTGAGCTTTCAGTGAATACCTTTCTCAATACAAGCGTAATAATTTTGTGAGCTTTCAATCAATACTTTTCTCAATAAAGGTGCAAAATGGTTTGGTGAGCTTTCAGTGAATAATTTTCTCAATACACGCGTAATGATTTTGTGAGCTTTCAGTGAATAATTTTCTCAATACACGCGTAATGATTTGGTGAGCTTTCAGTGAATAATTTTCTCAAAACAGGAATAATGATTTTTTAGCCTCCATCTGATGAATATTTTTCTTGGTAAACGCGCAATGAATTTATGAGCCCCTCCCCTACTCCTAAAAATGATTGGTATAATATCAAAAATGTATATAATCAATATAGGATTGTTTAAATAAGATCTCTAATTTATGTATACCGCAGATTTATTACCAGAAAATATTAAAAAATTTTAGAGGGTTCACTAGATGTCATGTATCAGCCATTCTGTGGGAAGCCCGAAGAGTTTGACATAGACTTATCGACTGGAGACAACTTTAATTATTCAGAAGGAAATTTCACGGGTAGATGGAAACATGAATTTTAATGGTGGTGGGGTCGTATTATCGGTGGGGGTGTCAATGGATACGTTCGTGTCATAGCCCTGTGTCCTTGATTTCTCCTTCTTCGTGTACGTCAAATAAATGAGAGGTCCAGTAGCCTTCCATCCAAAGATCTACGTCAAATCCATGACCTACAGACAAAGTGGCTTACAATCCATAGGTGTACGTCAAATCCATGACCTACAGACAAAGTGGCTTACAATCCATAGGTGTACGTCAAATCCATGACCAACAGACAAAGTGGCTTACAATCCATAGGTGTACGTCAAATCCATGACCTACAGAAAAAGTGGCCTACCATCCATAGGCGTACGTCAAATACATGGGTCCTACAGACAAAGTGGCTTACAATCCATAGGTGTAGTCAAATCCATGACCTACAGAAAAAGTGGCTTACAATCCATAGGTGTACGTCAAATCCATGACCTACAGACAAAGTGGCTTACAATCCATAGGTGTACGTCAAATCCATGACCTACAGAAAAAGTGGCTTACAATCCATAGGTGTACATCAAATCCATGGCATACAGACTAAATGGCCTACCATCCTTAGGTGTATGTCAAATCCATGGCCTACATACTAAGTGGCCTACCATCCATAGGCGTACGTCAAATCCATGACTTACAGACAAAGTGGCTTACAATCCATAGGGGTATGTCAAATCCATGACTTACAGACAAAGTGGCTTACAATCCATAGGTGTATGTCAAATCCATGACTTACAGACAAAGTGGCTTACAATCCATAGGTGTATGTCAAATCCATGACTTACAGACAAAGTGGCTTACAATCCATAGGTGTATGTCAAATCCATGACTTACAGACAAAGTGGCTTATAATCCATAGGTGTACGTCAAATCCATGACTTACAGACAAAGTGGCTTACAATCCATAGGTGTACGTCAAATCCATGACTTACAGACAAAGTGGCTTACAATCCATAGGTGTATGTCAAATCCATGACTTACAGACAAAGTGGCTTATAATCCATAGGTGTACGTCAAATCCATGACTTACAGACAAAGTGGCTTACAATCCATAGGTGTACGTTAAATCCATGACTTACAGACAAAGTGGCTTACAATTCATAGGTGTATGTCAAATCCATGACTTACAGACAAAGTGGCTTACAATTCATCGGTGTATGTCAAATCCATGACTTACAGACAAAGTGGCTTACAATTCATAGGTGTATGTCAAATCCATGACTTACAGACAAAGTGGCTTACAATTCATAGGTGTATGTCAAATCCATGACTTACAGACAAAGTGGCTTACAATCCATAGGTGTACGTCAAATACAAGGCCTACAGACTAACGTACGTAAAGTACTAACAGGGCCTGATACACTAGCAGTGAGTTCTCCCAGCAGTTTTGTAAGTGACGCATTCAAATTGCTATTACATTTGCCAATCTGTTCATTCTCGTATAGCTAATATTTGATGGGTTAGACTTGATCATAGGGGGATGGGGGAAGTCCGACCATACCTCCCTGCGGACCCCCTGGACCCTGGGGTATTCAACCAAATTATGGTCCGTCTCCAAGGTGACTAATGAAACAACGGCACCCAATTTTCCAATGAATGGACACCACAACGACTTGACCATAGTGTGTAATGGAACTATTGAGGGAAACCTAGGCTCTTCTGTGATTTTAGAATTTAAATATTTTATTAAATGTGTATAGAGTCCAACCCCACCAGCGAATGCGGGTAACCAAACGGAGCTCTGGCACATTTGTAAGTGCAAAGTCGAACTGCTTTTCACATGTGTAGACATGTGGTGCACTTACAGTAAAAGCAGTCGCCTACTTCTATCCACCATGATTATCATGGCCTGTACCATGTGTACTAGGGATAAGCAAAAGAATTAAAGGTCTATGGAGTACTGGTATAAACTCTTGATTTTAGACGGCCACAAACTGGGATTGAATCCCACATTGGGCACATTTTTTATAGAGAAAAAAATCTTAATAGATACTCAATTCTTTCAAATGCCAAACCCCACCAGTGAGTGCAAGTAACCAAAGCAGGGCTCTGACATACTTGTAAATGCAAAAATCCAACTGCTTTCTGCATGTGTAGCCATGTGGTGCACTTGCCGTAAAATCAGTCACTAACTATCCACCATGATTATCATGGTCTATACTACGTATAATTGAAATAAGTGAAACATGATTTTTCTAGATTCTTGTACAGAAAAAACTTCATAATTTTACAAAACAGACACCATAAATCCGTTAAATCCAGTTCCCAGCTTGGATGAAAAAAGGAAGAGAGGGAGCAGTAATAAGCTCACTAATAATCTACGTCGACTTATCCCGGCTGATAGTGCCCTGTAAAGGCTCCTGATCTAAGGACACAGGATAAGCAGCACATGGCATCTGTTCTTAATGTCAGATGCGAAAATTACATATTAGAAGTATGCTCATGGACAAAACTTAAGGAAGCTGTACCTTATAGCATGTATATCGGGATTCAGACAATAACTCTGAAAGATACACTCATGGACAAAACTTAAGGAAGCTGTACCTTATAGCATGTATATCGGGATTAAGACAATAACTAGAAAGAAATTTGATACACAGTGACCTTTATTAAAGACATACGAAATAACCAAGTGTAAACAAATTCGCCTCTGTCTCCTTAAAAAAAATTAGACGACTGGCGACATAAAAGACTTTCCCCTTCCTTAAATTTTGTCCATAAGTGTAAGTCAGCCTGCTACTGAGGAGTGCTCCCAGTCTAGCGAATGTAGAAGATGAATTTAACTTCTTGCCAATAATGAAAGTTAAAGACATACGAATTGGCACTTTTATATGATTGAAGATATAGAAGAAAGAAGATTATTAAAGACCTCATCAAAAAGATCAAAACTTAATAAAGATTTAAACTACATAATCACTAATAATTATAGTGATTATGTAGTTAAAATCTTTATTAAGTTTTGATCTTTTTGATGAGGTCTTTAATAATCTTCTTTCTTCTATATCTTCAATCATATAAAAGTGCCAATTCGTATGTATTTAACTTTCATTATTGGCAAGAAGTAAAATTTATCTTCTACAGTTTCTAGACTGGGAGCACTCCTCAGTAGCAGGCTGACTTACACTCATGGACAAAATTTAAGGAAGTGGAATGCCTTTGATGTCGTCGGTCGTCTTTTATTATTATTTTTTTTTTTTAAGGAGAAAGAGGCGATTTTGTGGTTTTTCTATGATTATAATCATAGAAATCTCTAGTTGACTAAACTGGAAAAATTGCTGTTCATGGCGTTTAGTAAGTATAGAAATTCGTTTTGAGTTTCATATTGTCATGTAGAAAAATGATAAAAAGACAAACGTCAGGTCATCAAGACAATATATTTTTATGTGAGCATTAGTTATCTAGAAATTATTTGAAAAAAGAAACAATAAAATTTATATAAAGCATATTAAAAGAAAAACTATCTGAATTTTATTGTTCATTTTTCAAAAAATAATATATTTATACTAAATATCAGTAATATCTTAAATTTCTATATAAAATGGTAGATTAAACTGCCGAAACCGCTGGGAGGGTTCACCACTGATGAACCAGGCCTTCCCATTAATTTTTCCATTGCAGTAAGGGCAGTAGGAATTGTTTAATTTGTAAAAGAATCATACGCGTTTATAATAGTTTCGAATTTTCATAACAGATGATGCGCTAATGTATCATTAAATAGGAATTTAATAATTCCAATATTCTATATACAGTTACGAGCGTCATTCCTCATCTCTGTCACGGTTTCCTTTTTTTTTTTTTTTGGAATGGCGCCCTCCTATTGGTTGGCTACGATCACGCCACCTTTGCCCCCCCCCCTCCCCATCATGCCCCCCCCCCCCACTCGCTTTTTTTGGAATGGCGCTCTCCTATTGGTTCGCTACGATGGCGCCGCCAATGTGGTTCAGTGGTAGAATGCTCGCCTGCTACGCGGGCGCCCCGGGTTCGATTCCCGGCCGATGCATTTTTTTTTTTACAATTTTTAAAACTCAATTATATATTATAGTGGCGGGCGCCCCGGGTTCGATTCCCGGCCGATGCATTTTTTTTTTACAATTTTTAAAACTCATTTATATATTATACAAGAATGACATCCACGGCGCCAATTTATGATTGTAACGAATAGTATTTTAATAAAAGCATTTAATCGGGTAAACCCCGGGCGTTGCCCGGGTCATTCGGTTAGTATATTATAATGGCGATTCGTTTTTTTTTATTGTAAAAGCCAGTTGAAAATCTTTTGATATCATAAACTTACTATCTTACAATAGAAATATCACAATTAGAATCTCTTATGATCTTTTGATTTATAAATACAATGTTTATATTCGTCAAAACAATATAATTTACAGAAAAGAACAAAGAAACAACAAAATAAAAAGGCTCTCTCTGTGAATAGATTTTAATTTAACAACAACAACAACAAAAGCCTTTATTTAGGGCATTCCGCCCCATATAGGATTCGCCGTATTTACGCATCAACAAGAGGAGAGGGAAGAGGAGACATTTACAACAAAATAAAGTTTGTCTCACATTCAGTTACCTATTAATAAATTTTAATTAATATTTAAATAATAATAATCTGTGAATAAAAATTTAAAAATATTCTGCTGTAATTAAATTGTAGCTGGGCGCTTTATCGATATTTCTAATTAGCTTTATTTCTGTTGAAATGTTGAATCAATACAATTGAGGAAGTAGATATTGTGTTGAATCATCTACTATAACAAAAAATAAACAATAAAAAACTTCTAAAGCAAATAGATATCGAATTTTGGTGTGTGAGTTAGAAAGATATAATTAATTTATTATCACACTATTATTATCTCGGTGGCGTTAAATTAGTTTATAATCTATTGTAAATTTTCATAATCTTTTATGCTAATGTAATTTGAGAAAAGTAAGCTATGCATACTGATAGCAGAAGATATTGTGGAGATTGGTTAAAGAATTGATGGAATTCTTTGAGGTATTTTAAAGTTTATTCGTTTTCTAATCACGTACGCTCTAGTTTCCTTAAAATATCTTCCCTTCCTCAGGGAAATGATATTAATGCTTATATAGATATAAATATGGTATAGACAATATTAGAACAAAACACTATAAAGGAATGACAATACATCCAGATGGTACAGGAACCTATATGACATGTAACAACTGTCCTGATGTGGAACTAACACCTACTCACATATACTCATGCCCAGCAATGGCCTCAGCCTTGCAGAAAATTTCGATTCTATTCTATTTTTCACATAGTTTGATATTCTCACGACCTTCGCGTCTAAATAGTTGTTTTATGGTTTTCAGGATGTCCCAAAAAGACCAGCTTTTTTTTTATCATCTTACACCACGCTGATGAGGACCAACAGCCCGAAACGCGTACGTGATTAGCTTTTCTTGATTAATCAAGAAAGGGTATTTGGACAATTCAGGAATAATTGAAATTCAACGCTAATCGAATCGTTGCGGCATATTTAGTCGATAGAAGACGCAAGCCATCAGAAATATTTAGTTGCACGGTCAGGAAATGCCTTTTTTTCTTCTTAATTTATACACCTGATCCCATTACACACAATTTCATTTTTGTAATATTTTTCACAAAAATATCTCTGTTTTATGTTTCTATCCTATATAGGGCAATCTATATCGTTGATAAATCACATTATTTCATTAAATTTAATTTTTGAAATCGAATACAGTAGAACCTCCCTGTAAAGGACACCTAATTGCAGAGCCAAAGTGTTCTTTAGTGAGAGGTGTCTTCTTACCGGAGAGTTGCTAAATAGTAAAATTGGTAATTTTGCAAATGAAAACTGTTCTTTGTAGAGAGGTGTCCTCTTACCGGAGAGTTGCTAAATTGTAAAAATAGTAATTTTTCAAATGAAAACTCTCCTTTGTAGAGATGTATTCTCTTACCGGAGAGTTGCTAAATAGTAAAAATGGTCATTTTGCAAATGAAAACTGTCCTTTGTAGAGATGTATCCTCTTACCGGAGAGTTGCTAAATTGTAAAAATATTAATTTTTCAAATAAAAACTCTCCTTTGTAGAGATGTATCCTCTTACCGGAGAATTGCTAAATTGTAAAAATGGTAATTTTGTAAATGAAAACTGTCCTTTGTAGAGATGTATCCTCTTACCGGAGAGTTGCTAAATTGTAAAAATAGTAATTTTTCAAATAAAAACTCTCCTTTGTAGAGATGTATTCTCTTACCGGAGAGTTGCTAAATAGTAAAAATGGTCATTTTGCAACTGAAAACTGTCCTTTGTAGAGAGGTGTCCTCTTACCGGAGAGTTGCTAAATTGTAAAAATGGTAATTTTTCAAATAAAAACTCTCCTTTGTAGAGATGTATTCTCTTACCGGAGAATTGCTAAATTGTAAAAATGGTAATTTTGCAAATGAAAATGTCCTTTGTAGAGAGGTGTCCTCTTACCGGAGAGTTGCTAAATTGTAAAAATGGTAATTTTGCAAATGAAAACTGTCCTTTGTAGAGATGTATCCTCTTACCGGAGAATTGCTAAATTGTAAAAATGGTAATTTTGCAAATGAAAACTGTCCTTTGTAGAGAGGTGTCCGATTACCGGAGAGTTGCTAAATTGTAAAAATGGTAATTTTGCAAATGAAAACTGTCCTTTGTAGAGATGTATCCTCTTACCGGAGAATTGCTAAATTGTAAAAATGGTAATTTTGCAAATGAAAACTGTCCTTTGTAGAGAGGTGTCCGATTACCGGAGAGTTGCTAAATTGTAAAAATGGTAATTTTGCAAATGAAAACTGTCCTTTGTAGAGATGTATCCTCTTACCGGAGAATTGCTAAATTGTAAAAATGGTAATTTTGCAAATGAAAACTGTCCTTTGTAGAGAGGTGTCCGATTACCGGAGAGTTGCTAAATTGTAAAAATGGTAATTTTGCAAATGAAAACTGTCCTTTGTAGAGATGTATCCTCTTACCGGAGAATTGCTAAATTGTAAAAATGGTAATTTTGCAAATGAAAACTGTCCTTTGTAGAGAGGTGTCCGATTACCGGAGATTTGCTAAATTGTAAAAATGGTAATTTTGTAAATGAAAACTGTCCTTTGTAGAGAGGTATTCTCTTACCGGAGAATTGCTAAATTGTGAAAATGGTAATTTTGCAAATGAAAACTGTCCTTTGTAGAGATGTATCCTCTTACCGGAGAATTGCTAAATTGTAAAAATGGTAATTTTGTAAATGAAAACTGTCCTTTGTAGAGATGTATCCTCTTACCGGAGAATTGCTAAATTGTAAAAATGGTAATTTTGTAAATGAAAACTGTCTTTTGTAGAGAGGTGTCCTCTTACCGGAGAGTTGCTAAATAGTAAAAATGGTAATTTTGCAAATGAAAACTGTCCTTTGTAGAGATATATCCTCTTACCGGAGAATTGCTAAATTGTAAAAATGGTAATTTTGCAACTGAAAACTGTCCTTTGTAGAGATGTATCCTCTTACCGGAGAATTGCTAAATTGTAAAAATGGTAATTTTGTAAATGAAAACTGTCTTTTGTAGAGAGGTGTCCTCTTACCGGAGAGTTGCTAAATTGTAAAAATGGCCATTTTGTAAATGAAAACTGTCCTTTGTAGAGATGTATCCTCTTACCGGAAAGTTGCTAAATAGTAAAAATGGTAATTTTGCAAATGAAAACTGTCCTTTGTAGAGAGGTATCCGCTAGCGGGGTGTCCGCTAAAGGGAGAGGTTCTACTGTATATATATTTAATTAAATTGAAGCTATCGAGTAGAAGGCGTATATATCGACAGCGTAGAGAACTTGTGGAAACTTCCCGGATACCATTTTGGTAATTGGCGTATCTACAAATGGCGTCCATTGGTGAATGACGTAATGAAGAGGTGTCACGCCCACAAATTGGACATCGTTTATATATATGATCTTGTTAACAACTTCCTCTGACATCTATCTATATACACTTATAGAACAAAACTTAAGGAAGTTGTACCTTTTACCATGTATATCGGGATTCAAACAATAACTCTGAAAGATACACTCATGGACAAAACTTAAGGAAGTTATACCTTTTACCATGTATATCGGGATTCAGACAATAACTCTGAAATATACACTCATGGCCAAACTTAAGGAAGTTGTACCTTTTAGCATGTATATCGGGATTCAGATAATAACTCTGAAATATACACTCAGAGACAAAACTTAAGGAAGTTGTACCTTTTACCATGTATATCGGGATTCAGACAATAACTCTGAAAGATACACTCAGAACAAACTTAAGGAAGTTGTACCTTTTACCATGTATATCGGGATTCAGACAAAAACTCTGAAATATACATTCAGGGACAAAACTTAAGGAAGTTGTACCTTTTAGCATGTATATCGGGATTCAGACAATAACTCTGAAATATACACTCATAGAACAAAACTTAAGGAAGTTGTACCTTTTACCATGTATATCGGGATTCAGACAATAACTCTGAAAGATACACTCATAGAACAAAACTTAAGGTTGTACCTTTTACCATGTATATCGGGATTCAGACAATAACTATGAAATATACACTCATAGAACAAAACTTAAGGAAGTTGTACCTTTTACCATGTATATCGGGATTCAGATAATAACTCTGAAATATACACTCATGGACAAAACTTAAGGAAATTGTACCTTTTACCATGTATATCGGGATTCAAACAATAACTCTGAAATATACATTCAGAGACAAAACTTAAGGAAGTTGTACCTTTTAGCATGTATATCGGGATTCAGACAATAACTGAAAGATACACTCATAGAACAAAACTTAAGGAAATTGTACCTTTTACCATGTATATCTGGATTCAAACAATGACTCTGAAATATATTACAGTGACCTTTATTGAAGACACACGAGTTAACCAATTGTAAACAAAATTACCTCTGTTTACTTAAAAAAAAAATAGACGACCGACGATATCAAAGACTTTCCACTTTCTAA